GGTTGGCATCACCACCATCATCACCACCACCACCATCAACATCAATATCATCACCATTACCATTATCATTTTCATCATTACCACCATCACTATCATCACTACCATAACATCAACATCACCACCATCACCATCACCATCACCATCAGTATCACCACCATCATCATCACCACCATCACCATCAGCACCACCACCATCACCATCATTATCATCATCACCACCATCAACATCACCATCAACCTCACTATCATCACCATTACCATTATCATTACCACCATCACGATCATCACTACCATAAATATCATCATCACCATCACCATCACCCCCATCACCACCACAACCATCACCATCACCACCACCATCACCATCACCACCACCATCACCATCACCACCACCATCACCACCATCGTCACCACAACCATCACCATCATCACCACTATCAGCATCACCATCGCCATCATCGCCATGCCAAGTGTCTGGACAGAGAGGGCAGGGATGGGATGGGAGCCTGCTTCAGATTTCAGTGGGTTCAGCCCCTCCACTGGGCTTCTAGGTAACTGTGGCCCGGAGAGGGAATCCCAGAGAAGAGACACATCTCCCAGCCCCGGGGCCGGCTCGCTGTCACTGCACCGAACTCAAAACTCCTCACAACAGCCCCCCTCCACGCGTCTCCTGTCCGCCTCTCAGATGCTTGTGTTTCAGTCCGGAGTTCCAGGGCTGACCCTCAGCTGACACAGCCCCTTCCGTGCTTTTGCAAGAATGAACCACTTCCCTTTATCAACATTTGTTCCCTGCGTCAACTGCCGGTGGCCAGAGCCCAAGGAACACAGCGCGGGGTCCAGGCTGGGCGCGCTCCAAGTCCTCCTGTGGCTGCGCGGCTGCGGCCCACGGAGCCCCAGCAGGAGCTCTTGGGCGTTGCTGCCTCACGGGGCCAGAGTTCCCGACTGGAGACCCGGGCGGGCCCAGATGTTTAACTTCCTTTCTTTTTCAAAACCAAGCAGATTCCAACAGCAGCAGCAGTGAGGCACCTCTGATGTGCCACCGGCCAGAGAGACCTGCGCACGGGGTGCGGCTTTGTAAGAGGATGTTCTGGAGGGAGGTGGGCCTGGCCCCGGCCCCGGCTCTGCTCCTGCCTTGCTGTGGGACGGGGGGCAGGCAGCTGAACCTCTCTGTGCCTCTCTGTGCCATGCAACAGTGTGGACGACCAGGCTTACTGCGTAGGGGTCAAGCTTACAGAAAACAAAGAATGCAAAAGGGGCATAGAACCTCGCCACTGTTCCAGCTTGCTTTCCACACACCCAGAAAACCGGAGCTAAAACAGCCCAAACCTGTGCTATATGATGCAAAGTTGATCACAATCCCCACATGTTCAGCAAACACATCTCCCCGAACAAGAGCATCCTGCTATGGGATGGCTGGGGGACCTGACCGACGCGGACCGCGTCATGGGAAGCGCCTCCGGCACTGGGCCTCACCCCGGGGAGGGGGGAGACGATGATGAAACACACAGCTCGCCTGCACAGAGCCTGGGCTGTGTTCGTCTGTTTTATTTATTCATTTCAGAGGAAGAGAGACAGAGAGAGAGGCAAAGAGACACCGGTCACAGAGAGCTCCTATCTGCTGTTTCACTCCCCAAATGCCGACAATGGCCAGGGCTAGGCCAGGATAAAGCCTCTGCCCAGGCCTCCACCATGGATAGCAGGGATCCAACCATATGAGCCGTCGTCCCCTGCTGCCTCCCAGGGCTGCAACACAGGAAGCTGGACTTAGGAGCCAGAGCCGAGACTCAAACCCAGGCATATGCAGGATGTGGGAATTTTAACCACAAGGTGCCTCCTCCTGGGAGCTTAGATTTAAGTAAAGAAAATCCACTCACCTAAGGCACTCCAGTTGGAGAACAGCATGTGCAAAGGCCCTGAGGTGGGGAAACGCACATTGATGGAGCCCACAGAAGGCCTGTGTGATGTAAAAGTATCGAAGGAGGGCAAGACAGGGCTGGGTTTACACAGAGCCTGGAGCAGTGGGAAGGAGCATGCGTTTGATTCTAGACAGCTTGGGAAGCTGCTGGCAGGTTTTCAGGAAAGCCGTGGCCAGGCCTGATTTGTGTTCCCAGAATGCTTGGGGTGGGACAAGAGTCAAGGCAGAGGGACCCGAAAGGAAGTAATGCAGTGGGATGCACAGGGTGGGTGGGAGTGAAGGGGACAGAGAGGCTGCAGCAGAGGGTGCACAGGGACCCGCGGAGGGCGGGGTGGGAGGTGTCCTCTGCATGGAGCGGACTGGGCGTCCGAGTGCACGTGTTGGGCAGGTGCAGAGGCGGAAGGACAAGGCCACCCAGGGGCCGGGCAGCACGGGAAGAAACACGGTGGCCAAGGACAGAGTGTGGGTGTCTTTGTGCAGGCAGACGGTAGAAGAGGACCCTGCATGCAGGCTGAGGAGGGAAGAGAAGCAGCAGTGGGTGACGCTCCCTCCGGAACATGGAGCTGAGTTCGCGGGCACACGGAGCGGGTCACAGATGGCCTGTCGGTGGCGAGGCCTCAGCTAGGGGTGCTCGGCTGTCCCGGAGAAGCACCCTTTTACTCTCTTGGGAGAAGTCCCTCATCTCGCGAAGCTGCCCAGGGCTCCCTGAGATGCCAGTTCCCGTGCACAGAGGCAAGTTTCCGCCCCTCTGCCCCGGACCTCGCTCTCTCTCCCTCTCCTCCTCCTGCCTCCCTGCACCCAGCTGAGACAGGCTCAGAAGGTGACAGGTGCTCACTCGGCATTCTGGCACGCCCACTTCCTGGAGCCCACCTTTGCTGGCATGCAAGCTCAGAGCTCCACACAGGAGTCCTCATTTGCCTGTTCGGGGCTGGAGAGGGCGCTTCCTCCCCTGGCATCCGAGGCCCCTACCCGTGGCCTCACCAGGGCCCATGAACTGCCCGGCCCTCCCCCTCCCTCCAGCCGCAGGAGCTGCCAAGGGTGCTCCAGCTGGGCCGTGTTCTTCTGCCCCTCTGGTGCTGCCCCTCTGGTGGAATGTTCCCCCTCCCCGTGCCGTGTTCACCCGGTCCATCCCAGCCCAGTCACTGCCACCCTGCAGCCTGCAGCTCCTCTCCTGCACAGTTCCCCTCCCCGGTCTCCGGTCTCTGTCCCCTGCCTCTTCCCTGCATGACCACTGGGCAGGAATGACTTCCCCATGTGTCCCTGTGAGCTCCTTCCCAGGAGGGCCCTGACCCTGACCGAGGCCTTAGCAGGACCTCGCAGCCTGCCAGCCGCAGCCATGTGCTGCGGCCGGTCAGCGGCAGTACCTGTTGGAAGCTCTCACGCAGGTGGCTCTGGTCCTCCGGGTGGCAGAATTCCAAAATGTCCTTGCCCAGGATATCCTGAGGGAAAGAGAGACAGCTTTCACGACCCGAGACTCCACTTCTGCTCACTCACAGCCTCCCTGGGAGACAACAGAGCCTGCAGGCCAACCCTTAGCGTTTCCCCTTTAGCCTGTCCCAACAGAGGAGAGAAAGCAGAGCGAATATGTTCTAGTGGCCAGCACGGTGCCGGCTTCCTGGGATCCACTCTCCGAACCTTCAGCTCGCCGAAGGAGCCTCTTTTTTAATTCTGCCGAGCCACCAGGTCAGCAGCTTCAGAATGCAACCTGATTCTGGCTTGCCTTGGAGAGGCAAGCTGTAATAAACATATTTTAATAAACGAGAAGCAAGCAAAAGGGAGAGCATGGGGACAGATGCGTTGCCTGAAAACGAGAATTGTTGAACTACGGAAACCATAGCTCTTCTGTGGCTGAAGACAGGACGTTATAAACATCAAGGTATCTGTGAGAAGCCTGGTTATATTTGCCTCCACTGGTCTGTGTTTGAGTTCAAAGACCAAAAACAAACCCCAAACCCAAGTGGGCTTCGCAGCAAGACAAGCCGCAGAAGGAGGCAAGTTCAAGTGTGCTCCAGGAGCGTGCTCCAGTTGGAAGTCTCTCAAACAGCAAAGGGGTAAACTAAGTCAGCAGCCACAGCCCAGCGCAGCAGCAGCTGCCCAGGCATGGGGAGGGGCGTGTCAGCCACGGGCCAGGCAGCGTCCCCATCGTCACCGTCCCCGTCTTCCCAGTCCGCAGGAGGGCGCCGGGGTGAAGGCAGCCGGCAGCAAATGCGGTGCTGTCAGAGGCTGCGGTCCACCTGGGAAGGCATCCGCTGCCCCCTTTCCTCCGCCCAAGGGTCTCAAGGTGGGCCTGGACCTCCAGGCGCAGACACACGGAGGGCCCGGGGTTCCCGGTCTGGAGCCTTCCGAGTTCTGAACTGGCCATGGAAGCACATCGCTCACAGCAACCGAGCCCCTAGCCTGCAGTTTGTTCTCAGAACAAAGACCTTTGTCTTGTCTTAACAAAATGGCTTTTTTTTCTTTGCAACGTGAAAGCTACAGACAATTTGAAAGGCCAATATCATACACACCTGCATTTCCTTCAGACAGTTTCAACAAGGGTCAATGTTTTTCCCGTCCGCACTCTCTCTGTCTATGTACATTCCGTATGCAGTGGGTATGTATGGACGTGTGCACGCATGCACGCACATGTACTCACTTCATATACATATATATATGTCTGCATACATGCATAAGAAAATAAATATACTTAATATCAGCTGCAGGCACGTACGTGATACTTTCTCCCCCAAAGATGAGGGATCTTCAGTCTGTGAAAATGTATAGCATGAAAAAACTAGGCATGAATTATAAGACAAACTTATCTTTTAATTCCATCTTTGCTGTGAATTTTTTGAGGTGCCCTCATATTTTAGCACATATCTCTCTAAGATGACATTATCTGGGGCTGGCGCTGTGGTGTAGGAGGTAAAGCTGCTGCCTGAGACACTGGCATCCCGTACGGGCGCCGGTTCAAGTCCCGGCTGCTCCACGTCCAATCCAGCTCCTTCCTAATGGCCTGGGAAAAGCATTTTTACTTTTTTAAAAGATGACGTTATCTTACAAAACCACATTATACCACACTACGCTTAAGAAAATCAAGAATTATTCAATAATGTTACCCAATATTCTGTATAGATTAACATTTCAATGGTCTCTCAAGTATTTTTTTAAAGACTTGTTTATTTATTTGAAAGGCAGAGTTACAGAGAGATAGGAAGATATGAGAGAAAGAATCCTCCATCGTCTGGTTCACTCCTTAAATGGCCAGGGCTAGGTCAGCCAAAACCAGGATCCAGAAACTCCATGCAGGGCTCCCACATGGGTGCAGGGGCCCAAGCACTTGGGCCATCTTGTACTGCTTTCCCAGGAGCACTAGCGGGGAGCTGGATGGGAAGTGGAGCAGCAGGACATGAGCTGGTGCCCGTACGTGCCAATGTCACAGGCAGGGGCTTTACCTGCTATGCCACAGCACCGGCCCTTCACGTTTCTTTACTAACTACACATAGGACCCAACTCGGGCTCTCACGTTGCATTTTTGCTTCATCTCTCTGATCTATTTTCTTCTAGGACACTGCTCCTGCCTTCTCATCACAACGATCTTTCTGTTTTTAATTTATTCGAGAGGCCAAGGGACAGACAGACAGACCCCGGGTCTTACACGAGTTAGACCTGTACACTTTACAGGACAGTGAGGCTTCAACCGGCACAAGCTGGCAACTGCCCACTGACCTGGGGTTGGTAGCCAATTACACTGATGCACCTGGGATCCACAAACGTGATGATTCCGTCCGAGTTATGCCGGGAGAGGAACTCCGTGGGCACCGACATCCCGTTCATGTCCATGCACACAGGCGAGCTGGTCACCTGAAATGGGAACCATCCACAGGTGAGGTGGCAATGACAGACAGAGCAGCCACGGCCACGGCGACCGAGAGCAGGGGTCATCCGGACGGAGTGAACTTCCATGTCGCCAGGACCATGAGTCAGAGTGTCGGAATGGCCCCGGCGACACCGCCTCAGTGCGGCGGGGGGCTCTTCCCTCGTGTATCTGAGCTTAGCTGCCTCGGAGCCACGGGCCACAGTGCAGCCCCAATCTCATAGGGTGGTCGGGGGGTGCACAGTGGGAAGTGGTAATACCCTTCCCTTTTCTCGCCGTTCCCTCATTAAGGACAGCAACGGAGCCGGTTCAAACTTACAGAAGGGCAGGTGCCTGGTCTGGTGGCTAAGACGCCCGCACCCCACCTCAGAGTGCCTGGGTTTGAATCCCAGCTCCACTCCTGGCTCCAGCTTCCTGATAGTGCACACCCTGGCGGGCAGCAGGGAAGATTCAAGTAGCTGGGGCTCAGTTCCCAGCCCCCGGCCCAGCCCAGACCCCTGCAGCCGTTTGGGGGAGTGAATCAGGGGGTGGGAACCTTCTATCTCTCCAACTAAAAGAAAATAGATACAAATATTTGGAAAAAAATACACATTTGTAGATTGAATTACCCCAAATCTTCGTTCTTGCCCCATTTGCAAGGAAAGGCCCGTACTTGTCAGAACGGACGAAACGGCCTACTCATTTGTCTGGAAGTGGTCAGACCCAGGCCGTCAGGGACATGAAGGGCCAGCGTCCTCTGAACCACACCGGTGACATCTCTCCCCAGCACGGGGACGCCCTCGGCGGGACGGGGGCATGAGCAGGGCGGCGGATTGGGCGGGTCCTGTGTGTGCAGCTGCTGAGCCCATTCAACTTTCACAAGACAAAAAGAGACACATCTCTGGCCTTGAGGGGTCTTCGGGGAACCAGCAGGCACCTGCCCAACCTGGCTACAGCAGAGGGAAAGGACAGGGCAGGGGAGAACACGAGGCTAGCGGTGGAGGGCGGAGGGCGGAGGGCCGAGGGGATGGTGAATTCCGACTCAGGAGATGGGGGAGTTGGTTAGCTGGCTCTTGCAGGCTGAGCGGAGAGTGAGCAGGCAGGGATTCCGAAAAGAGAAGAAGAGGAAGAAGGAACCCCTGGGCCTGTGGACCTCCACAGACGTAGGGACGCACAAGGCAATGACGCGGGATGGGAACAGGAGGTGGGGAGAGAGGAGGAGGGGAAGGAGATGAGGTGCATCATCTCGCAGGTCCTGGGGAGGCGCTCCAGGTGGGGAGCGGAGCGGGCACAGGCTGGGGGCCGATCCGGCCTCTCAGTGTGGCCGTGGTGGCAGCTCGGCTCTCGCCTGCTCGCAATCCCACATTCGGCCTCACGGTTGTCCCTCAGTGGGGCATGAAACCCAGCCGACGCAGGTGCACCGGCCACCCATCCGGCATCCAAACCCAAAGCGTCCCGTTGTTTGCGGTGAGTCCTCCTCTGAGAGTCCTCTCACCTGGAGCCTCCCGATCGCCACGAGGCAGTATTTGCTGCCTTGGCCCACGTCGGCGTCTTCCTCGGGGATCGTCATTCCTGCAACGAGAAACGAGAAACGCGGCGTCACCGCCAGGATCCCCGAGGTGGGGGGAAAGGGGGGAGAGGCTGTGATGTGATTTAGGAGGCAGGAAGCTGGCCCCCAGGGCTGGGAGGCAGGCAGGGGAACGGCCGTGGCTGGGAGGCAGGCAGGGGAACGGCCGTGGAAGGTGGGAAGACCGGCGTCGCCCCTTCTGGGGAGAAGTCAGGGTTTGGGACAGGCTGGAAGGAGAAGTGGTGACGGCTGTGCGGAGGAGACCCTGAAAACAACGCCGCAAGCAGGCAGGATTCGTCAGAACAATCCCCTTGTTCCTGGTCAGAGGGGAGACCTCTGTCAGGTCCAGGAAGGACAGCAGGTCCAGGTCTGAGACGGCAAGGCCCCTCGCCGCCTGTGGCTGGCTGAGACCATCGCAGTGAAACAGGCGTCTGGTGTTCCAAAGCTGATTAATGTGAGAGGCAGAGTGGACAGGCAGACGGAGCTCCCACCTGCTGGTTCACGCCCCAAATGCCTGCAGCAGCCAGGGCTGGGCCAGGCCAAAGCCAGGAGCCAGGAGCCAGGAGCCAGGAGCCAGGAGCTCCACCCGGGTCTCCCCCATGGGTGGCAGCAATGTAATTACTTGAGCCATTGCAGAGCTTTTTTTAAAACAATATTTATTTATTTATTTGAAAGTCAAAGTTACACAGAGAGAGAAGGAGAGGCAGAGAGAGAGAGAGAGAGAGAGAGAGAGAGAGAGAGAGAAATCTTCCATCTGCTTGTTCACTCCCCAATTGGCCACAACGGCCGGAGCTGCACTGAGTCAAAGCCAGGAGCCAGGAGCTTCTTCCAGGTCTCCCACGTGGGTGCAGGGGCCCAAGGACCTGGGCCATCTTCTACTGCTTTCCCAGGCCATAGCAGAGAGCTGGATTGGAAGTAGAGCAGCCAGGCCTTGAACCGGCATCCATATGGGATGCTGGCACTGCAGGTGGCAGCTTTACCCGCTGGGCCACAGCACCAGCCCCCTGCAGAGTTTTCAGGACTAGAAGCTGGGTAAGGAACCCACGCACTCCAGCATGGGACATGCATGTCTGAACAGCCAGGACAGGTGTCTGCCCCGAGCATTTGATTTTGGGATCTCCCAGGCAAGCACTATTCAGAACATCAAACCTACCTACTCCCTACTCCCACCCTGGGTTCCAGGCAGGAACAGAGTGACCCAGGCGCAGCAGCAGTCGCCACGAGAGATGCTGACACCAGTGTGGAGCCAAGGGCCAGAGAAACGTCCTGCCCTGGCCCCCAGCCCACCGTGGGCTCCCCGTGCGACGCATGCACCCCGTTCCCCCGGCCAGGCCCGGCCATTTCTCGTTTGTCCTCACTGCCTGCTGCTTGCTCTCCACCGTGCACAGCGTGCAGCAGACACTGTCTGGGGCTGGGGGCTCCCTGAGTCCTGGAGTTCACTCCAGCTTCGTTCACGGAGCTCTTCCTCTGTTCTGAGAACTCTGCTTCCAACGTGAATGCATCCTGGTTTATCCAACCACGTTCCTCCGGAGGAACACTTAGGGGTTTCTAATCTTTGGCAATTTAGGGGCTGGCATCATGTCACAGCAGGTCAAGCCACCACCTGTGACGCTGGCCTCCCGTATCCGAGCACTGGTTCAAGTCCCAGCTACTCCACTTCCCACCCAGCTGACCGCTAATGCATGTGGGAAGTACTGGGAGATGGCCCAAGTACTTGGGCCCCCATTGGCCATGTAAAAGACCAGGATGGAGTTCTTGGCACCTGGATCTGGCTTCAGCCTTGTCCAGACATGGCTGTTGTTATTTCGGGACCAGTGGATGGGAGATCTGTTTCTGTTCCTCTCTTTGTCTGTCACTCTGCCTTTCAAGTGAATAAATAAATACCTAAAAAAAGATAATGGAAAAAGCACATTATCTTTGTAAAAATCTTATCTATACCATTTACTTGAGAGGCAGAAAAAGAGAGAGAGAGGGAGAGAGTTCTCACCTGCCAAGTCACTCCCCAAATGCCCACAACATCTGGGGCAGGGCAGGGCCAGGCTAACATCAGGAGCCAGGAACTCAATTCAGATCTCCCACGTGGCTGGCAGGGACCCAAGTCCTTGAGCCCTCCCTGCTGCCTCCCAGGGTGCACCAGCAGGAAGCGGAATCCTAAGGAGAGGAGCTGGCACTGGAGCCCAGGCACGCACTCTCATGCGGGATGTGGGCATCAGAGGCCGTGTCTTAAACGCTGTGCCCCATATGTAGTTTTGCTTCGCCAAATTTCCCTCCAGAACGGCTGCCCTGATTTGCACTCTCACCAGCACTGTGTGCAGGCTTCTGGTTTCCCCACGGTCACGGCCAACAAAATGTGCTGTCTGGTGATTTAGTCTTTGTCGGTCTGACAGGCGAGAAATGGTGTCTCGGTGTTGTCCTAATTGGTATTTCTATAATTATCAATGCATTTGAAATTGTTTCTTATTTGTGGACTATTTTTATATCTTGCTTTTGAGTGAATTGTCAGTTCACAGCTCTCCTGCGTTTTTCTCTTGGGATTTGACTCTCTGCCTCTCAATGTTTGAGTTCTCTCTGTTTATAAGGGTGCTTCACAGGTTTGTGGATGAAGGAATCAAAAGAGAAGTTTGTTTTGGTGCACAAAACAGCACAACAGTGTTTTATTTAGGATTGCAGTACATTTACAAATTAACTCCAGGAGAACCGTGACCTTTACAGCACCGAGTGACCCTACCCAAGAACAGGTGATGTTCTTATAGTTCAAGCCTATTTCATTGACGTGCTTATTGATCAATTGATTGATTGAAGAGTTTGAATGAGAGACAGAGCAAATTCCCATCTCCTGGCTCACTCCCCACGTGCCCTCAGCAGCTGGGGTTGAATCAGGGTCACACCAGAAGCCCTGAATTCAGCCTCGGTGTCCCGTGTGGGTGGCAGGGACCCACCTCCCTGAGCCATCCCCTGCTGCCCCTCAAAGTGTGCATTAGCAGGAGGTTAGAGTTGAGAGTGGAGCCAGGGCTTGCAACCAGGGGCTCTGCTATGGGATGCACGAGTCCCAAGCAGCGTCTTACCTGCTGGGCCACACACCTTCCCTACGTATTCTTTCAGGTGAACGTAGGTGGTTCCGTGCACAACCCAGACAACTTGCCATGCATTCACACGCAGAAGTTGCTTTATGCGTCCTCCCCATTTCAGGGGTAAATGCTAGTGACACATTTTACTGCTTTCCTCAAGGGCATTCTTAAGTGAAGGCAACACTTAAAACTTCTTGAATTATGCTTTTACTGCAAGAGTGCAGGGACAGACAATTGGATGACTACCGGGACGCTTTGCTACCACTGTCCCGATTGCTGCTAAGGCCCAGCAAGTCTTCCCCACCCTGGGTGCAGACATCGACCCGACGAGGAGGGCAAACACCATCTTGGGGTCGTTTTGAAACCATGTTAACCCCAAGGCCTGTGACCCCCACTCAGAACTGCTACTTTGCAAGTTGCCATTGGATAGAGGCTCCTCTTCACCTCTTTTTTTGTTTGTTTGTTTGTTTTTGGGTCCTTCTCCCACTGCCTCTGTTCCTAACCATGCATCTGTGAGAACCGAGACTGTACCCCACATCAGGACTTCCCCTGGAGTTCCAGGCCCGCACCCAACTTGCCTACCCAAAACACCCTCCTCTGTCTCACAGGCCCTTGAAACTCAACTCTGGGGGCTGGCGCCGTGGCTCACTTGGTTAATCCTCCACCTGCAGTGCTGGCATCCCATATTGGCACCGGGTTCTAGTCCCAGCTGCTCCTCTTCCAGTCCAGCACTCTGCTGTGGCCCGGGAGGGCAGTGGAGGATGGCCCAAGTGCTTGGGCCCTGCACTCACATGGGAGACCAGGAAGAAGCACCTGGCTCCTGGCTTTGGATCGGCACAGTGCCAGCCGTAGCGGCCATTTGGGGAGTGAACCAACAGAAGGAAGACCTTTCTTTCTGTCTCTGTCTTTCTCTCTCACTGTCTAACTCTACCTGTCAAAAAAAAAAAAAAAAAAAAAAAAAAGAACTCAACTCCGCCCAACTCTTCCCACCCACACCAGCTCCTCTTTCTACTGCCGGTGGACAAGCCCGCCAGTCGCCTTCCCTGGAGTACACTCTCTCTTCCTTCCAGAAAGGGCCTGATCTGTCCACAGTGGCAATGTGCCCACTCCCTTAGCAGCAGAGGTGGCCAAGAGGTCAAGGTCAGCCCCGCGCCCCAGGTGGAAGCTGGTGTTGCCGGGTGGGGCTGTCAGCACTCCTTCTGTCCATGAAAAACAAGACTGAAGAGCTCTGGTCACCGCCTTGAACTCTGGGAAGCTGGGAGCCACTGTGCTCACTCTGGGCTGCCTCGCTCTGCAGTCTCCGAGAGGAAGGTGTATAGCATACCTGTGCTGAAGGGCCTGTTTTAGACGAGGGATCAGCACCGGCTGAGACACCCCCTAAGCTCTACCAGAAGCCTAGCAGCAACCGGCACTGCGAATGCCCCACAGCCAAACCCAGGTCCCCTTTTTAAGGACCCTCTGCACTGCAGGAGGCAGCTTTACCAGCTACGGCATAGTGCTGGCCCCGGGGTGCCAGTGTGTGTCCTTGCTGTTCCAACTCTGGTCTGGCTCCCTGCTGATGCACTTGGGAAAGCAGCAGAAGATGGCCCAAGTCCTTGGGTCCCTGCACCCACATGGGAGGCCCAGAAGAAGCTCCCGGCTCTCGGCTTTGGAACGGTCCAACTCCAGCCATTTGGGGAGTGAACCAGCAGATGGAAGATCTCTCTCTGTCTCTCCCTCTGTCTGTAACTCTGACTCTCAAATAGACAAATTGTCTCGACCGCTGAGGAACACTTTTTTCATACTTTTTGTTGAACTCTTCATTTAGTATAATCATGTTTGCATAAAATTAATTGAAAATGGATCTTAGTAAAAAATAAGAGTATTTCATTCTGTTTGTTGAACTCTTTACTTAGTATAGTGTTAATCTTATGTGTATAAAGTTAATGAAAAATGGA